ACGTGGAAATGCACAGAGACTGGTAGTGAATAGATAATGTAATAATATTACGTAATCTAATGATTCACTCCACGCCAGCAATGCATTTTTAGCACAATTGCATTTTTAAATAAATGTTATTTTTTACGGAGCCATAATTTTAACATCTCGTTTGCATTGCCTCTCATTTTTTTCATCTCTTTTCTCCGGTTTGTTTACGTCCCTTTGGCTTCAATGTAAATTGGGAATGGTCGCAGCATTGGTTTGCATACCGCGCGATGAACCCCGGAAGACCTGGGCTAGATTCCCAGTTAGGGATATCACTGGTGAATAATACCTGAACTTGGGACACCCGCTTCACCAACTGTGAACTGAGTATCACGGTGAAAGAGCGTCGAAACGACCTTCATCTAGCAGTGGATTTACACAAGGACTATAATTATTATTTTTACATAAATTGCGAGTAATAGATTCTTACATGCACGACTTGAATTGATGCATCGTTACATGGCCGATCAATATTACATTGCAGCTATATTGCACGTGTGTGTGCGCATATATGTATGTGTGCACAAATGTACTATATATGTGTCATAATTATGTGCGTGTGTGTAGTTACTGTTAGAGAATGTATAGTATTTCACATCTAAGGAGTCCCTATTGTACGGATGAAATACTAAAGCTGTAGACACTAAGTAATTAAAGCTCCTCGGTTTTTATTGCATGAAAACATTTCTTTCCCAATTACAGCCACCCAATTGTGGTCACGAGGAAATGGGATAGCTTTAAAACAACATCATCCGAAAAACATAAAAACTTTAAATTAGGTCCGTTGAAATAAATTGATGAATGGTTATAAAAAAAGGAAATAAAATTAAACTTTTCAATTGGCTTTGAATCATATTTTTTTTACAATTGTGGGTTTCATTTCATTGTGAACTTTGGGTTTGCAATAAAAATAGAAAAGTGAAGGGAAAAAATGTCGAAAATATAAAACGAGAAATAAAATACTAATAACACTCTCACATATATATACATACACACACATATGCACTCTTATACAAAGATCCCCCGGAAAACATTTAACAGACTGTTGGGGAAAATTCTGTTAGTGATCACCTATTGAGGCCGGCACGACACACGATAAAGTGGTATGGTCAGAATCACACCCCAATGCCTGTCTCCTCCCCCCCTGCTGACGTTTACACACCATACCAGGTACTAATTTAAGACTCAGTCAACCTAGGAGAGTTCCAGGATCGATTTTAATATCACTCACTCCTGATGTTAGCCGTGGCCGGGAATTCAGGTCACTGGGTTCACAGCGAATTGCGCTATCCACTATGCCACCACTCCTCACACATTCTCAAACATACATATAAAACAAAGACACCCCATATAGCCTTAACATACTGTTGGGGCAAGTGCTGTTAGCGAGCACCTATGAAGGCCGGTAGAGCACACGAGGGAGCAGGTGGCCAGCACCGCACCCGGCCGCCTTTGTCTCCCCAGTGACCATGTTTACACACTGCACCAGGGACTCATTGGAGGCTGAGTCGACCTAGGGGAGGCCCAGGACCAGTTCAGATAATTGTCACTGGTGTTAGTAGCCGTCAGCAGGAATCCAACTCCGGTTGCTGGGTTCATAGCGCAATGCGCAAACCGCTGCACTATCGCTCCCCACATACAACAACCGCCATTCGCCACGAAGTGGCGGTGACGTCCCCATGGCACTTGTGCCAGGTTATGTGCAGGCAGGTCACGGGACAGACCCAGGTACCATAGGTCGACTTACATACATATACACACACACATGTTCACACTTGCCCACTCACAACATGCATACATATGGTAAAGCACAACCTGAAACAATGGTAAGGTGTGAAATTTACACCAAGTATAAAAAATATATATACATGCACGGCCAGCCAAACAAGATCATTATTCTAGACAATGCATACTACACAGCCCCACGATGCAATGTTAAGCTGCGAAAGTTCAAAAGGCAATGAGGAGGCTGCATCACAATAATCAATTGGAAGATGCAGATTATTGTTTATTGTTAGTAGGCAGTGATATGTTCAGGGAGACGTGGCAGTGAGGTGGATGGTAGCCATAGTACAGGAGGATGAAGTTCATCCAGCAATGGATGAATGGTTGATGATGTAATGCAACGATAATGTTCATGAAGATGATAATTGTGCTGCGTCGCTAATTAACACTCCGCCATCATAATAAATTAAATTCAAAAGGCACCCTTAAACAATGGATCTCAGAGCACCAATAATAAAAAAAAATTGTATATAACAATGATTAAAATACTCTTTCTATTCCAGGCCTTTTTCAATCCACTGCTGGATGAACACTTACACAGCCCCCCCCCCCCCCACCCCGTGTGAGTCGTGGGGGTTTTTTGATCATACATGACAGTGTCAGCTGAAGGGAGGAAAAGCTCAGGACCGTTTCAGATATCACTCAACGCAAGGATTCTAAGCACTGCAACGCCACTCTACCCCCCCACTTCATTACATGTTCTGCTAAATATTTATAACATATAGCTGTATTCGTGTTGAAAAAGTCATTAAATTGAGAGCCACCTATTAAACCAACAAATGAGAAAATGCTTTGAGAGCACCGGGCAAGCACAAAATTAGATAAAGCGTGTAGGTCAGCATTCAATAGCTCACTTTACACGAACACTGCACCCACAGTGCGTTCAATGGGAAAGCGTGCACTTGAGAACTTTCAGACATTGTTCTTGATCGTTTAAAACCGGCCCTGTCATGCCGAGAGATTCACAAACACCGTCTCGGCCACCACAGTTCATTTCCGATCTATGACAACGCTGCCCTTTTGCCTTCCAATTTCGCAACGATACTTACACAAATGAGCAACTGCTCGGTTGGTAAATTGGAGAGTGAAAACATTAATATTAATGAGGCATAAATCAACGCAGGAGCAATCGAATTTCTCTTTTTTTTTAATGCACTGTCAAAATGCTAATGTCTGTTAAATAGTATTATTATAATTAATGCCGAGGGTTTGAATATTAAATGGCGCTTTTTTTTTCCCCCTGCCGAAAGAAATGAAATGGGGTTTCCAGGTTGCCTGGTTTTTAAGTGTGGCACAATGAAAAAGAATCCCCACTCCAATCTGCAACAATTTATCATCCAATAAAGTGCGATGTCCCTCATAGACATGGCAGAACCGTTTTTGAATGGTCTGCCATGAAGGGGGGGGGGGGTGTAAAAAAATAAAATACTGCCATTCAAAGCAGGCGAATAACATTGTTCTGTAAGTGGGTGTACTCTCTTAGGTTAGATTAATTCCTCTTTTCCATTAATACATAAATAATAATCGCTTTGAATGTATCCGCGAAAGGTTCACCAAGTCTCAAGTATCTCTTTCAGGAGGTGTTCGCATTGGGTTGTTTAGCCCAATTCCTTATCGATGCGTTTGTTGTTGTTGTGAGGAAACCATAATACCCTATGGAAAACACACACAAGGGTATGACACACACAATGTGCAAAAATAGATTGGCAACTACCTGCTATACTGCCTACCTCAATGGCACTGTGTGATGGTGTGAACATAATCCAACAAGAACTCGATTGCAGGGATGCACCACGATGTCCGTCGGACAAAAATGTGAATTTCAGATCTCGTAGCCATCAAGCAAAGCAGTGTGGTAATAAGCATATTATAAAAAATGTACCATAAAACAATGAATGCTGTTGGGTCTCCCATAAGCTTGGATGATTCATGGATTATATTACCCCCAACCAATCTCCATCAACGGCTTGATACGGGATTATTTTAGTCGTCTATACTGAAAGTGCATCGATTTATTTTATGGCAATGCGCAACTTGACTTCAATCTTGAACCGATTATTATACCAAGTCACCCAGCTATTATGTTACAATGCCAAAATGAGTATGAGGTGGTGTGCTCTCCTCCAACGATGGTTCTGGGTCAGTGGTGGATATTCCACATTCCTATGGTAGAGGCGAATCTCTCACATGGACAATAACTGTTGCCTTCACACCAAGAGCTGCAGCCTCAACCAAGCTGTATCCGTTTCACTGCCACACAACGACGCGAATCAATCCTGGTTGGGAGTTGAAGTAACGTTCTCAACGGAGCGACATTTCATCATCGAGCAAAAATTATGTATGTACAGTAAAACCTTGAATTGCGAGCATAATCCATTCCGGAAACGTGTTTGTAATCCAAAGCACTCGTATATCAGTTGTGATCACGTGACGCTCGGTAGACAAAGCGTGTACACGTACTACTCGTATTGCAAGACCTCGCTCGTTTATCAAATTAATATTTATTTAAAAATTTTGCTCGTCTAGCAAAACACTCGCAGATCAAGTTACTCGCAATCCAAGGTTTTAGTGTATCGCCCTTTGTTAAGCTATTGTTGGATGAACGCTTCCCCAAGCCATGAGGTCATAAGGGGGTTATTCGTCCGTACTTAACCACGCTGGTCAGTGAGGGTTGGCAAAGGCAGGGCGCGTAGATGTCGAAGCGCAGAATTACAGTACATAAATTAACATTGTTGCATGGTCCTATGCTGACCGCTACAAAGTACAGCCCCGAAGCTGCCTCCGACAACTTGGCATGCATCGTGGCCACTCATCCAAGCACGATTCCAGCTCAAACCCTGCCTTCGTTTCCAAAATCTAACGAGACCGGGCGCATTCCAGGTTATTTGGTCATAGGCAGCAGCAATTGTACAGTAACGCCAAGTGTTTTTGTGCAGCAATTCACTTGCCAGCACAAGAGATGCCAATCGTCACCAGCAAATCAACATTAACGTCAAAGGTGTAATATTTTTGTTTGGCAGCACCTTAAGAAAACTGCCGCGACTCATTCAGTATCCAAATGGCTGCGTGTTTCACACAAAAAGCAAATAACAGGGGAAGACAACAGGAGGGTCGACATTTTTTGTTGTTGCCATTCCTTGTTTTATAATGGCGTCATTTTGTAGTCAGCGCGTCAGTTCTCATCTCACCTTTTAGGCTGTTCGGTGCATCGCTGCAACGTCCCATCCTTCTTAAGGGCCCCAATAGCCTCGCTCACGCACTGCATGGCTGGTACGACAGATAATGGAAAGGTCGGAGTTCAGCACATTGTCCCGACCGGCACAGAACGTCATTTATATTAACAGCCCGTCAAAGACAGGCAGCCTGATTGCACGCCGTTGTTTAAACAGGCGCGCCTCTCCACCACCGTCGGAACGCCTGCGAATAATTTTGATGCTTTCAGCGCGATTTCCGTTTTATTAAACTGCCAACGAGAACAGCGCCGTTAATATCGCGCCTCGTACCATTCTGCTTTATTTAGCATCACAAAAAAACCTGGCGTCTTAGGTATCTGAAGATATTGGTTTAACACCTCCTGATATTAACGTTAGATTGTGGTAATTATTTTTTTTGTAATACGGCATTGTACAATTTAAATAGACGCCACCTTAAATTACATATACAACCAAAAATTAGGAGAATGGCAACATTGGAAAAACAGGGTTAATTAGCAGCACATTTCAACACACATCTGTAATCCAGCGACTTAAGAGGCAGGACTGGTGGATCACACAGATAAAGAGCCAAGATGTGTGGCACATCAACTTTGCATAGCAACAAGATGCTGTAAGAGGTAGTACAGCAAGTAGGTTTATCTCAAGGCTGTCTGGATAACGACATTTGAATGGTTATTCCTTTGCACAAGTGGGTTTTCTCAAAACATTTCAGCTTCCTTCCGCACAAAACCAAAATAATTATGAGCCAAACATCCAAGCAGGAACCTCCTGAGAGTCTTCAGACTTGGTGACATTACTGGGTAGACACCATGCAAATTTTGCAAAGGCAACAATTAGAAATATCCTGATCACCTCTCCCACTGCACAGCTTTTGCTACATCCCTGCATCACAATGCACGTGGAGGTAGTCGCCATGATACGGTCTCAAAAACAGGAGCATCTGTACTCCCCTGGGACCTACATAGAATTATGCTATCGATTTGGAATGGGGCCTCATAAGCCAGGGAGCACTGGGGTCTGGCATGAAAAATGGGCAGTAGCAGCACAGAAGAAAAGTCGCATTTCCTCCGAGCAGCCGCGGCAGAACGATCATCAAATGTAAAAGCGCAAACACACGCAAACGCGCGCAGAAAAACACGAGGCGTAAAAGATAATTGTGTTTATTCCACGTTTGCAATTAACGCTTGTGTTCTTGTGCATCTGCATTTTATAATTGAGCGCTAGGAGAACAAATATTTAAAAACTGCCAGTGCTCAGCGGGAGGGATGGAAAGTAGGTTTCCACATGTACTCAGTTTTTTTTTCCCTTCCCCTGGTGTAAATAGTCGTGGCACAACAGAAATAAACGAATTAACAATACGTTTTAAAATAACGGTGGGTTGATGAATAAAAATTATTTTCAGGAGCTCAAAGTAAACACATCAAAAAAATAACTTAGCAAGAATCAACTTTCATCACTCTTTGTCGAGCTATAGACTAAAGCGACATTAGGTTTAATTCATTTCAAGTTGACTAAAAAAAATTAATGTTATCATAACATGTGGTAGAAGCCACAAAAGCTGTTCATGTGATGTTTTCGCTATCTCCCTTGCAAAACAAATAATGAAACTCGTTTCACAGGAGTAGGGGTGGGTGTATGCCGAATTTGACTCAAGTGAATGCCACGTGCAATACATTACGTGATATGCACTTGCACCACCACAGTTGAACTTAGCTTAATATTAGGGTTGTGTTCATGTGGCATGTGACGATTGCTTAAAAATCTTGATTGTTATTCAAAACATTTCCGAACACTTTACTCCACCCTAACTCTGATGGGCTGCGGCTCCAGTGAATGTACATGTACACATTACGAAGTTCATCCGAGTGAGCGAATACAGTGTTGTGTTAACGTTATACCCTCGTGATGGGAGGCTTAAGCGGCCATTCTGTTAAGTCATGTAAATTAAGTGATGCAATGTGAATCCACCCTAAGTTAAACAAAATTAATTGAAGTGCAATATTGCTATGTTGCCAGCAACGTGTAATGTTAATATTTTCAACAACAATTAAAAATAACACTTAAACAAGAACAATGATGAAGCCAACAACAACACCACCACCAAATGAATGGGAATTTAACAGTAACAATTCAAGGAACAATAATGATGCATCCAATTATAACGATTATAGCCAAGTTAATGATATTGATGACGATCTGAAAATTAGATGCCAAGTTTCCGCTGTCAGCCAGGCAAGCGCCGACAATAGGTGGCACCTAGGTTGTTAATTAGTGGTGATTTGCCACACGTTTTTCACAGCCCCAATCTCCGCCACGAAGCGCAGCCTAGCAGCAATCAAGCGGCCTGTTTCCATGGAAACCATGGCAGTCCCAAGACGGTCTGGCACGGAAGTACGACCCCGTGGGGTGAAGCGGCACTGGAGGGGCACGCCAAGCACGGATATTGAGGCTGGGTTATCGCTTGCAGCAGTCGGCTTTGCTTGCCACTGGGACAGTTTGCAGAGTCGACGGCTCGAATCGCATCAGGGCCAACTTGAATTTTTCATCTCCAATTTTATGTCATGATACGAAGAAACGTCTAATTTGGAACTCTCCAGCGAGCAGTGGATCACCCTGTATCAGAGAACGGCCGTGGCAGATGATGTCACAGGCAGACTACTATGAGCTCATCTTCATAAGCAGAAGCACACATTTTATATTCTCTGTTAAGAGTGTTGTATGTCAATCAAACCATATATTTTATTCACAGAGCAAGAATAAGATACATTAACTAAACACTCGAATTTAATGGTGGGTTTTTTTGTAGTCACTGATAAATAATTATACTTTCATTGAAAAAAGTGTTTTTAGTCACTAGTGGCTGACTGCCTGGATTCAAACCCAGGGTTTCAACGATGCCGCTCATGGTCCTGAACTGGAAGCTAACCAGCCACCTCAAGTCCAGTATTTGTAAAATGTATACGTCTACATTGAACCAAAGGGCACCATCTGTTGTGAAATGGAGGATGACAATCTTGACATCATTTGCAAGAGGTTATTGTTTGCCAATGGCATCGTCCAAGTCAACAATGAGAACATTACCTGTAAGTGCATTTAGGAGATAATTAATTGTGCCTATGTAACCATATATAAATTATATAGATGCTTGTTACAGAACTTAATAAAACATTTACACGCATGTGCAAACACATGCCTATTTGTACATACATTTGCAAATAATGTCATGCGTTAGATGAACAGTGAAAATTAAGTTAGAGCAAACAATACCATCATTTAAGCATCATATCTTGTTTAAAATAAACAGAAGTTTACCAAATAAAATAATATTATTTTTAAATCGACAGACATTCGTGGATTTTTACAGGACTGGGTGTACTCATGCATTTTTCTAAGTTTCTTGTCTTTGAGTTATTCTCCTGCTGAATTACAGAGCAGCTTTTAACGAGCAGAATCTCAATTTAAAAGTCATGCGTCATAATTCCCAATCGTGCCATTGACTCGGATAGCACAATTGGGATAGATTTGGTGATAAAATAAAAAAAGCCATAAAGTCAAACCGTCTCCCTGTTATAAGGGAACAATGGGGGGGCAGTGATCATCTCCATTTGTAGGCCAAAGCCATTTGGTGGAAATTCCACATGCATATTCTGGAGGCCATTATTTCCCTTGTTGACTCCCCTCTCAAGGGGATACACATTTTATCGATCCTGTAAAATCATGGGCTGGCTACATCAGGTGAAATGCAAAAATTGTATGTTCGAACTATAGCTTAAACCTAATGTTTTTGTATGTATTTTATTCAACTCAAAAATTATATTTAAATGTTAATGTGTCATTTTTGATCAATTCTAGATGTTCTCGTATTATATTAGGTTTGTAGACTGTTGTTATTGACCTCATGACAGGTTTGCTATATTGCTTTGTTTGATCAAGGTCTCAATGGGCTCACACATCGCAAAAAATATAGCAATGATTGAATGATCCCCCACCCAGAATTAAACGTGCTTGCGATTCGTGTGCTATAATCCATGCATATATTCACCTTTGTCTTCAAAAGCGGCAAAGTCAAAGCCCTCAGCGCCGGCCTCGGACAGTTTCAGCTTTTGCAGGTATGTCTGCGGGGGGGGGGGGGGGTCACACACATGGAAAAGTGCACTCCACTATACATTCGAACGCAATGCACAAACCACTGCTCCCCATATTATATATATTTGATGCAAACGTTTTCAAATATGTAATGTGGTCAAACTGTTTAAGACAGATGGCATCGACAGTTTTAAATGACTACTGTGTCCACATCAAAATTCAATATGCCACGTGCAAATACGATTGTACTTTGACACTGTATGTAAATAATGTGCCATGCTGTATTGCACTGCGCGATTGTGTTGTGTTACACGAGGGTGAGCGCCAGGATTGTGATTGCGCATGCGGTGGGCGATGGAGCAGGACTAACGGGAGCCCGGCGGTGCGGCACAGATGCCGACACCACACGTACAAACTTGCAGTACACACCCATAAACATATGCACACACACTCTCACAAAACGCATGCAAAGACAAAGACCCCCCCCCCCATTTAGTCTGAACAGAGTTTAAGAACAAGTGTTGTTAGCGAGCACCTATGAAGACCGGCATGGCACACAAAGGGGAGGGGGTGGGGTGGCCAGCACCACACCCAGCCACCTTTCTCCCTCATGGCGATGATTACACACCATACCAATAACTAATTTGAGGCTGAGTAGACCTAGGAAATACCCAGAACTGGTTCAGATAATCGTCACTGGTCTTGACCGTGAGCGTGATCGTAGCGCAGCGTGCCAAATGCTGCAGTGCCCCTCTCCATATACACACACACAGAAGGACATACATACATGGGTAGGCACAATTTTGCACCATAAAAATTCACTCAAGAGACAAAAATCCAGACATCTATATCCAGTACACAGGGCACGTACACAAAAGACAGAGATCCCTCATATACACTTTTACAGGCTGTTGAAGCAAGTGCTGTTAGTGAGCACCTTTTAAGGTCAGCACAACACACAAGGGGATGTATTGAAAGCACAAAGACTGACCACCTTTATCTCCCCTGTTCTATTTTTTACACACCACACCAGACACTAATTTTAGGTTGAGCCAGACTAGGAGAAGTCCAGAGACAGTTTCCGATCACACACAACTGAAGTTAGCCATGGCCGGGTATTTAATGGAGGCTGCCGAGTTCATAGAGCAGGGCTATAACCGCTACACCACTGCTCAAACACAAGACAAAGACCCCCCTCCCCCCCATAGCTTTAATAGACTATTGGGGCAAGTGCTGTTCACGAGCACCTATGAAATCTGGCAAGGCACTTGAGGAGGGGTGCCAGCACCATGCCCGACCGCCTTTGTCTCCCCAGTGGCAATGTTTACACACCACACCAGGTACTCATTTGAGGCTAAGTCGACCTTGGCGAGGCCCAGGACCGGTTCAGATAATCGTCACTAGTGTTGGCTGCGAGTGGGAATAAAACTTGGGTTGCTACGCAGCACGTTAAACGTTGCACCACCACTCCCCACACACAAGACACACTAGCTCACACAAACACATGTGCATACACACGCATGCCACCACACATCCAAATACCGATACACATACAAACATTCACTCACAGACGCATACATAAACACGTGTGCACAAACGTATGCACGTTGGAACATACTGACAAAACACAAACCCACATACACATATTAAGACACCTGCATGCATATGCAACACAAAGGGAGTACACATGTACACACCCCACTCACTCAACGACACTGTACACACACAAACGCATGCACACTCATTCTCTCTCACACACCCAACACAAGGCACGGACACTTACTCTGGAAAGCGCCTGCAGCAGATGGCACAGCCTCTCCTCCACAGGCAAGTCCATGCTGATCGTCTTATAAAGCTCTGTTACAAAAAACCCATCAACAAATGATTATATTTATGACATGGCTGGATGGTTACAAGAAGGGTTAATGCTATGCGGGTCAAAACATTGAGCCAGCTGCAGAGAGATGATGCTCAGTTTGAATCCGAGCAGCCACCCGTGATTAAACCAGGCTCTTAAGTGCAGCGAGCTGATGCTATCAGGCCGGTCACCAATGACTGCACAAAATGTAGCTTAATTCAGGCTGGCCCAGTTTAGAGGAATGAATACAACAGAGCCGGGATGTGGTGGAGCAGGCCTGTGATCCAGTGCTCTGTAGGAAGGATACCACGTGAATCACAGACTTTTTCGAACGCCCAAATCCATGCTGGGCTTGGAGGTGGTTAGGAGATGTCAGTATACAGCAAGTGGTTTTGTGGGCCTGTCCGTGTGGACTTTAAGAGCGATATCCCCTTGTATGCATGGCGAGTTCTTTTTCCCCAAGTGCTCACTCTACTTTTCTCCCACATACAAAACACTCTTCAAAAATTATTGCACCTTGTTACAAATTGAGTCTTGAGACTCAAGGAGGCTTTCCTGCAGAACGACACGGCTCCCAAATCAGGACCACACAATGGCCTATCCTTGAAAACCAGAGGGCTCCGTGCAAATGAGCATATGCTCACAGCTGTGTTTACAGTAACACTGTCAGAATTACTGGTAATACTTGGCACTCAGAAAACATGCCACTTCAGCACAGGTGGCCTTGCTATCATTACCAATGCTAATAAAATAACTGTAGCAAATTCGAACGTGACAAAGACGAGTAATTGGATTATTACAATCAGCATTATATCAGATGTCGAGAAATAAAGTGTACAAATTTAGATTTTTACACCTCACGGTTATATTTTTGGAAAAAGAAAAACAACATTTGCACGTTGAAGAAGATGACCTGATGAGGAATACAAACAGGAGAGAAATGCTGAATAAGGAATATGCCACAGCAGGCCGCGTACTTTACTGTAAAAGTCTCGGCTATACAATTTAAGCAGGTTTCGCAAACACATCCTAATCCAGGCTTTTCTCCTTTTATGCCCCACGTCTCTTCCGAATTTGAAGACAAAAGCTCAAACCCATTTCAAAGGCGTCGTGTGACAAATGACAGCCTCCAATACGAGCGGCAGTTTTTATGGGAGGGAAGGTTGAAAAACACAAGACGATATTTATATTTCATTAAGCGAGCAAACTTTAGGAATAGAAGACGCCTCTGTACGATATCAAACGGCCAAATGTTAGGCCGTTTAGAAAAACGTCAAGAGTGAGCGCGCCTCGCATTAAGAACGAATGCAGCATTATTAAAATGCGCGATAGTACGCCATACATTAATTTAGGTTTATTGCAGGAAATCATACAGAGACCCCCAGGCCAATTAAGGCAACTGTTCTCGTCCCATATTTAGCGAGGCTTCATTCCTTTACTCATTCTTATTATGGGTCATTGTCACAATAAGTAAGGCAAGAGGAATGAGCGAGCCATTTCATAGCGGACACAAAAACACAGATCTTTACAAAAACGGTAAGTTTAACGCCCCGTCGGTAAAAAGGTAGACCACTCGTTCATGTTACGTTCAGGGACGTTCATAAATGAGAAAACGCATCCATTGAGAGGCTACATTCATTATTTTCTTTGTGTGCGTTATGATGCGACATGTTTTTGTTTTGCATTTAAAATAAAATTTTGGATAATGTGTCATTGATTAATGTGGACCAAAATGCGAGTAGGCAGATTAAAGGGCAAAACATTGCTTTTGTTTTTGCATTTAAATTCTAAAAGTCTGAATTTTCATCGAGCCACCAGATTTATTTGCATTATCATATGAAACAGCTGGTTATTTTCATTATTAAAGATTAATTAAAATCACTTTTATCTCATATGCATATTCATTCACTGTAAACTGATCTCACGCAAATAAATAAAAAACAAATCATTTACCAATGACGGAACAGATAAAAGTGACGTTCTGTTTGCTCCCATTTTAATCATAGCTCAAGGTTACTCGGTTCAATTTGCAAACTGTTTTTAATCGTAGGAACAGGGGAGGAGGAACAAAAAGGAACGCACAAGCAATAAACAAGCACAAACCAAATGAATTCAAAGCACAACAAAAACGCAGCTAGCAACCTTTAAAAAGGTACACTCCCGTATGCACCCAAGTGTACACAGACAGACGTACAACGCTACTGTGATCACGCGCACATACGCATGCATGCACACACGTGCAGGCGTGTGATCGTACACATCGAAGCAGGGGTGTGTGTGTGTTTGCGTGCGTGTTTTTTGGGGAGGGAATACAACCCGAGCCAGAGAAATCTAATTGATGCCATATCTCGCTCTTCCCTCTGCCGCCAAGGGACTGCAGGTTATTTGTCTCCTGTTATTGTTCTGCAGGCCCGGCAATTCAATTAAACGGCAGAAAATTACTTGGGGTCCCATGACACCGGGGTTTTATTATCCGGGACGGCTATCGGAGGCGGCGAGAAGGCAGCTGGTTTCTGCTGAGCAGACAGCACCATTGACCTTTCTCTTTGGCTCGCGCCGCCTTCCAGAGCTGCTGTGAACGGCAGGCATGGGGGGCTGGCTTGCCCACCCTCGCTGGTGCGCGCACTGGACCGGGTACCAATGGCGACTACGCGCGCATTGCGGATGCAAATTTGTTAAAAGGGGCTGCTTCTTGGCCCAAGAGATGCCGTGAGTCACATGCAATTAGAACAAAGTTGCAAATTGTGGCCAGCTTTTCTGGATGGCATGAAAAGTAAAAAAAAATATTTTCAAAACTGGGAGCTGATAAAAGGAGCAATCCATCATTTTTAACATGGTAAGAGAATTATAAACTTTTGTTTCCAACCTTATGATCTTCACTTTTATTATCTAGGCTTTAAGGAAATGAAAATAAACTACCAGAATAAATATACTCCGACTGGATGGTGCTATTATTAGGCTGCTTCACTCATAACAAGAAGTATTTAGAGTTAAAATGCCTATGTGAAGTCGACTTAGCCCATTATCCCAGCCTATTGAGAGTCAAAATAGATACCACTTTTTTGGGGAAGTCAAGTGGTGGTTGTCCCAAGGATAAAATATCACCGCCATAAACATGTGGATTTATCCCATTAGCTCAAGAGCCACCAAAAGAAATGAGATCTTCTCACACACACTCGTTTGAGTAGGGAGGTGCTGCAACACGGAAACTTTTGAATTAATAATAAACCCACGGCTCCATCTCCCCCAGAAAATAATCACAGGCAATAAACCCAGATTGAGGCTTTAACTCCACCATCCATTGGCAGCTGGAATCACGATAGCAAAGAGCATGCCATCAAATCTTGCCAAGACCTGGCCACTCCAAAAGGGAATGAATGAATAAATAAATAAAAGCCACACGGAAAAAAACTGCAAACCTAAAAAAAGGCGGTGGTTTATTTCGGAGCCAGGAAAACCGCTGGTGCGGAGAGATAGAATGAGCGAGGATTTATCTGGGTCCGTTTGTGCGCGCCAGTGACACTCCAGGCAGAACCCCAGTGACTCGCGGCTGCCAAAAATACAGATTATGGCTGGGGCATGGCCAGATTGTCCTCTCTTTGGGGAAATTGGAAAAAAAGATGCTGGACAGAACTTCAGTGGTGTGATTGACAAATGGGGGAAAAGAAGTCACAAGCACTAGAGTCTACTGCAGCAAGGGAAGAAAATAAAAGTCAAAAATAAAACCTAGGAGGGCTGCGTTTGGTCAGCCAGACATATTTTTCCTAAGACGCATTCATTTCAGATCAGCTATGCAGCTTGGCTTTAATTAAACAGAGACAAATGGTTTATAGGAAAGTGGAGGGTGGGGAGGGGGGAAAAAAGAAAATTCTTTCCAAGTGCAGCATGAACACTATCCATTAAATTAAAAGCAAAATAATCTTTAATTTTAAAGCTCAGCTTCCGATGCCAGACAACTTAATGGATGTTATTAATGGAATGCATGTACTCGGCTGCTAATGCACAGTTCAAGCAACAGCACAAACACAGAGTTCTAATGAAGGCTGTGCGATGCAAAACGGCTCCAAGTGCCCTTTCTGCTGCTGTGGATTATAGGACGAAGGCAAAAACAAAAAGTACCATTCAATAATCATGTTAGTGCTTGGCGTTGAGTGGCTAAAATAAAGTAGTGATAAATCTTGGGCAGCTAAGTTAAAGGATGGAGCGCTCAAGCTCGGTTGTAAATCCTGCAAGCCGACTTGCAGCAAACCAAAACCTCTCCACGGAACCCCGACAGCATCTGCGTGCGCACGGCACCCCCTACTGTTCAGATGCAACAGTCCAGGTCACACTCAAGTGAGACGTAATTTACGAAGCCAGGGGTTGGCACCCAGCGGCTCCAGAGCCGCATGCTTCGTGACGTGGCTCCTGAATAAGAGTTCTTTTTTTAAGAATCCAAAAATATTGCCTCTTCTTGTTAGTTTGGTTGCCGACCCCTGGACTAAGCAAAGGTAATTTTTATTGTTTGCGATTTTTCTTTTTATTAGTGAAAACTTTGCACAGATATTATTTTTTATATTCTATCTGGCATAAAACTATTTATTACATTTCCTGCCATGACCTGATGAAATGACACTGCTCTAGGTCATGATTCAAAAAATAAATAAATATTTATTTGCCCCTGTGGTGCATGTGGAATCTGTCCAGGCTGCAGGATTTCAATGGAGTTGTCGAATTTCCGTCAATAACATAACTTGTGAAATAATGCATTCTCATGTGCACGATTCAATGCTTGTATTGTGAACGCGAGCATTTGATTTCCATTAATGAATTGTTACACGACAACAGCAAAACCTCATGTAAGAAAACTTTTCAGGAAGATCCTGTATGGAATATTTGACCAATTCCTATTGGGGTATTGAGAAAACTCACACAATTTAGAGAATAGCATTCCAAATGAAACCTTATATTGGTCGGCAACCTGTTTTCTGTACTGCCTCCTCAATGATAATAATTTGTTTATTTTTTATTATAAAGCACACGATACAGCGCTGCATCTAAGAGCACCTTACATCACATTTCATGTCAGAAATTTGAAATGGGAACCCCCCCCCCCCACCGTGGCAGCTGCCCCTGTAGGCACAAGGTGACTCAGCAACAAGCAGGTATCAGTCTGCCAGTAGTGGTGACAATGATTGCTATGTATAATTCCAATTGAGTAAGCTGCAGAGGATTTTAGAATTTGGCATATTTGGATCCCGACACCAGAGCGCAATGGCCTAATCTTACGAATGACATCAGTTGATCTTGTGCCCACTGTCAAGCTACGTGTATTATTCTGTTTATTACACCTGGAGTAATAATCAGGGCAACCTCTGGGTTCGAAACGTGAAACACTGCAACGAGCAGCGAACGCGTAACTGCGAGACCATGTCACAGACCCACAAGGCCTCACTCAGCATGATTCATCAACCTCAATTCTAACTCAGTGAATTAGTGGCATGTACCACAATTAGTCATGTGACACAGAAACTTGTTCTGTGATTGGAATGAAGCATCTTGCTGATGGCCAACAGTAATGCGCAAGTTAATAACATTTAATTATACTATGTTCTTTATTGATTACAACAACCATTAAAATGGTTTGAACATGTTACTGCTCTGGTCTGTACTCAAACTCACAAAATTAATCATCTTATACCAACTCACTGTCTTCCCTTTCACCTCCACTTTCCTTCCTCTGCTGGATGTAGCTTCTTCTCTTCTGCTGCCACTGAAGGCTGGAATGATTTTTCACAGGCCATCTGCGCCGTCGACTCCCTGTCCCTGTTCAAGTTCAGACTCAATACTTTTTTCTTCTCCTTTCTCCTCTGCCTATTTATCTTTGATATATTAAACACAAGTATGTTTAACTCAACATGTAGGTTTTGATAACCGATATTTAAATTTATTGACTTTTGCTTTAGGCTATTTAATCCGGTCAAAATTTGTGTCGGCAATAGCCTGCGCCACCCGACATAGCCAAACAATTCAAATGATCACACGTGTGCAAGAGTTTACCGTTCCAAATATTGTTTCAGTTTACCTGTAAGCTGAAGGACAATTCTCACAAACTAATGTAGCAACTGTATCCAAGACATGTACATGTGGTAATTTCATTTGTTTGGCTATGTCCGGTGGTGGAGGGTCTTAACGAGACAAACTTGGCCAGACCATTACGTGGCCCGACCCAAAAATCTATTGTATATGCCACCATTTTCCCCCCCATAATGATGCACATGAACCAAGTGGAAATTTTCCACCACTGGGTCAGGGTGGCTAACGGATCTGAGCCAATGGCCCGACTACTACTCCCTTATCTATAGGAATGAGTTCATCATCATTACAAGTCATAATTTAACTGTCATTTGCCCAAAAGGTTTGACACTATTATCTAGACTGGACTGTGTAGTTGTGACACTTGTATTACGTGTTTTAATCTGTGCTATGGATGGGTAAATATTCTGGGGAGTAAAGTACAATAAAATATATTAAATATGTTCGTATTCATTAATAGCATTGGCAATGCAAGTCGTATTGTAACATACTAATCAGTCAATTGTAATAATGCTGGAGGTACTATACCAGTTTTAAAAAACAGTTATACTGCACTGTGGCCCATTCACCGACTTAATCATTGAATGAGCAGATTAGCTTTCGCTAATTGAGCATTTAGAGGGCCTCCACTGCACCTGAACGAGCTGAGGCAGCACAAATATAAATAGGGCAACACTACCAGTTCAAAATATGGAGCCTGTAAGGCATTGTATGCTGTCAGTGTGGTGTACAGAGTCGGCCTAAGTGAACGTAAACATCTTGACTGTGGGCTAAATATATTTTGGGGAATGTTATTTTGCATTCATTATCGATACGTTTCTTTCATCCTGACCTTAACAATTTATGGAGAACATAAGCACGGTTAAATTATTATCAACAAAGATGAATGTTTTAGGAAACTCATTGACTCAAGGCTTAGTTGCTTAAGACTTAGATCAGCTTTCAGACATGGCCTGGGCACAATGGTAGGCTTGTGTTCATTTTTTATGTTAGGAGTGACTGCCAAATTCCTAGAGACGCCAAATTTGTCTGAAATAAGAGTCGAGGCAATGAAAAGCATGGGAACCACTGATATACTAAAGTGGAACAATTGACAGCACATCCAAAGTCTGAAAAGCAATGCCATGGGACCAACAGCGAATGCAGATCGGATAGTACTATTTTTTCACTTTTTGCTGACTTTCCCTGCTCACTCGACTACAACTGGTGAAACCACACTGTGCAGACAGGTGCAAGTCCAATAACGTAAAATTACCCTGCTCAAATGAGCAATGGAGCAGTGCTCGTTCATGCTAGTAACCCAAGTGGTGTTTGGATTCCAAAATACTGTGAAGGGCACCTGAAGGCCAGTTGCTTAGTGTGTCAGCCACTTGTATGAGAACTGCTTTGTGTTTGGAGTGTCCTTTCCTTGCGCCTTCAATTAGCACGGCTGACTATGTATGGTGTGAAAGAAGTTCAACATACATAAGAAGCCGGCACGTGACAAATCATTCCTGGTGTGCTTTTATCAATGTCACCATTCGGAGTCACGATTCGATTCAGGAATGTATTATTTGTTGTGTTATTTATAGTGCATTGTTGAGTGTCTCATGTTCTATCTCATGCCATTCCTTTATGCAAACTATATTTGCTTTTAGCTTACAGAAGATGTGCATATCGTTAATTCTTAATTCACAATGTGTGCATTGTGTCAATAAGACTAAAACTTCAATCGATATGCTGATGAACTGTTACAATATGAAATCAGGGCAACAAATTCCCTTCGACTGTACGTTTATGTTCCTGTGTCCATGATCCCCATTTTCACAACTTCATTTGGATCAGCATAAAGTATGGTCAAATAAAACTCAACTAAACTTTTCATTTTACCAGTTTAGGCCCACCTGAGCTACATAGCTCTTTTTCAAAAGCATCCTGGTCCCAAATGAGAGCTCAATGGAGTGGCATATCATGTGGAAATTTATAGCAGCCAAATACTCTAAACGCTCGTTTCTCAATTGAGAGAAAATCCAGAGGACGCGCACTGCACTATGAACCCAGCGACCGGACCATGAATCCTGGCCACAGCCAACGTTGGTGGCAAGAGAAAAATGCAGGCGACTATGGGGGAGAGAGAACACGCAAACTCCATTATATATAGAACACGTCAGGGTCGGGATCGGGATCGAACCCACGACCTCCTTCATACCACGCGAGGGAGTTAACATCTCGCCACCTCGGCACACCTCATCCAGCAGATAAACTGACAATGAGTTGTACACATAGATGACAATTGTACAAGCCGTGACGGTGCTCCAATCGGTCGTACCGGACGTGTCGCTGTGCAGCGGGGCGAGCGACCGGCGCACGCGGCCTCGCACGAAGCTCGAGCGACGCCTCTGCTTGGTGTCGTTTGGCAGCGTGCATTTGCCGTCTTCCTCTGCCACCTCCGCATCCAATGCCACTTCTTTCACGCACACGCGCGCGCACACACATGGCAACAATAAATGTCACTATGCACGGTTCACGTGTACGCATTATTGTAATGCAAGTAGAGTAATGCCCCGGTTTCCGTCGGGGATGCGTTCCTGAAAGGTGCCACGACGATTATCGAAACGACGCAAATTAAAGCGAATAACAAGGTGGGCGGTGGAGGCAAAGGCCCGAGAGGCGACGGATAACTAGAAAGGATGGATGCTGCTGTTGGCGGCATAACGGTGGGGGTTGAGGCGATGCAAATCGAGTAGCGGTCGGTATAACACAAGGGCTTTCGCGCCAATATTATCTACAAGAGGCTTTTTTGGGTTAGATGGCGTAAATTTACGTAATTTACGTGATCTAACCCAAACCTCTATCGAGTAGCGGTATAAATATTTGCGAAACGACGTAAAGAAAGGTGAGATGTAAATCAGGGTATTACTGTTACTTTTGAAATGTAATGAATGGCATTTTTATAATGCGTTAGCACACTATGCTACGGGCCTGGTGATCGGAGTTTGAATCGCGGCCACAGTAAACATCAGCGGTGAGTAGTATATGTACTAGGTTGTCATCCAGCAGTGGATTGATTGACAGCAGAATATTTACTCCGGAAAGCCTCCATGGGCCTCAAGACTCTCACGGAGTGTCCTGCTTTGTGATGTTTGGCCAATTCCATTAAGAAGTGGTTGTGTGAGAAGATACCAAAGTACAGTAAAACCTTGGATTGCGAGCATAATTTGTTCCGGAAACGTGCTTGTAATCCAAAGCACTCGTATATCAAAGCACTCGTATATCAGTTGTGATCACGTGACACTCGGCAGACAAAGCGTATACACGTACTACTCGTATTGCAAGACCTCGCTCGTTTATGAAATTAATATTTATTTTAAAATGTTGCTCGTCTTGCAAAACACTCGCAGACCAAGTTACTCGGAATCCAAGGTTTTACTGTACCAGGAAAAAAACCTACATGACAGAATAACAAAACACTGCATATGTTAACAAAAAAATCCATTGTTATGCTGCCATGCGACTTTTGAAAGCCTGCAACACTTGGTGATCATGGACAATCCAAGCACTAATTGGACTCGACCCTGCCTAGCTTCTAAAATATGACAAGACCAGTCACATCTGGATGATTTGGTTTTTCCTTAACTCCGTATAGCCGATCAGAAGGCTTGGTTTAGAAAATATACGTTTGTCCATTAATTCATTCACCACATTCGTACAATAGTTAAGATAATCCTTTCCTCAGATGTACGAGGCCAGGAATCAAAACCAAGTAGCCAGGATTGCAGTGTAGTGTTCCACGTCTTATTCCATCACTCCCTCTATCACATGCGACAAAGATCCTCTTGTATACTGTGCAAAGATTGTTAGGACAAGTGCTGTTAGCGAGCACCTATTAATGCCTGACGCTTACAACACCACACCTCATTTAAAGCTAAATTTACCTAGTTCTGATTGATATATTACTCATCACCTCAGTTGTCATTCACGGTGGCTGGGAATCAAACTCGGCTAGCCAGGTTTGTAGCAGTGTGCTAATTACTATACCACCTCTGCTCACAATCACAACTGTGCACCATAACGTAAGATGGGTAGGGGAATCGAGTCTTTCGGCAGTACAGCATGTAGTATAAGCAAGCTTGACCAAGGTACTTCGCGAGCAGAAATGATGGCAATCAAGCATATTGTGACAAAATGGCAGCTAAGGAATGGATTGCACCTGAGAGGGCATCCACCGTGGGAGATGGAGAGATGAAATCGGTTAGTGTGCAGGTGCTATGTGAATTATTACATTGCAGGATCGTGAACAATACTGGTGACTGGACGAGTTGTATATCCAGCCGAGGATTAACTATGGATGATGATAGCAAGGCTACAGATGTATTTGTAGTGTTGAACCCTCATATGTGTGGGGTTCCTCCAGGCACTAGTTCGTCCAACAAGCAAAAATATTCACAAATGAACTGGCCAAACAGTCCACGTAGAATCCTCCTGGGACGATCTCGAGCGAGGTTTTTCTGGTTAAATTAAATATTAATAGTAATCCATATTACTGTGTGCCTTGCAAAATAGGGCAATGCCAATCGGTGCTCATGCTTTATTTAGAACAGTGAAAGCCCATTCATTGAGGTGCAATGTTGCTGTTGGCAAACAGTTCTGGCTGTAATAAATACTCGTCGTATACTAGATTTAAAGCTACATGAATCCATTTGAAATTCAACGCCTCTTTTTGTACACCAGACCTCTCTATCAGGTGTCAATAAAACAAATTGCGATGCAACTGGTTAAAAGCCGATTAATTATTTCTGTGGGAGGGAAAAACAAATCTCAGCGCAAGCACATCAGATCCCAACACACACACCAGAGAGGAATTATTTGAAGTCACTTCTGTCTGCGACAGATTTGAACTCCGATACAACCAGTCGGTGGATGTCCAGAATGCTAACCAAGGTATACTGTATTGTGTAAAAACGAATTTTAAAACACTACAGTGAAAACACCAAGTGTTTTCTTTCCAATTTTGAAGCTGGCTAACATCTGGATCATGTCCAAAAGTAATGATCAAATTTTATCAACGGTATGTAAGCAATCAAATTGCTTCAATGAAATTCCACACCTTGGTTGCCTTCACAATTACGTAATAAAACATTTTAAATCTAACTTAAATGTAACAAACATTACCCGTTCTGATGGTGAGAAATTGAAAGCCTACTTTTCTCTGTGCAAACTAACATTTCAAAAATGACGATTGTGTTTGATACATTATGCTCACCTATTTTTTCCAATGAATTGTCCATCTTGCTTCGTTTAACTTCATTCAAATCCTATAACACAACCATTGTGAAGGCAGTAACACCATAACTTAATACACATGAATGCATAATAGTCCAATACATTTGGTATTCACGCCATTCTTATCACGAAGGTGCTGTTTCACAAGTGGATATAGTCTGCCAATTGGGAGCAATGTTGCCACGTGTAATACGATTCGAGAAATTTTCAGGTAATTTTTTCAAATTTGGCAAATTCGGATGACAACGCCAGGACATATTATTGGCCTCCTTGTTTATGGAATCTTTAGCGTCCACTGTAAAGCAGACGGCGTAAAATCGTATAGTTAATACACCCACAGGTAATAACCAGTACGGCCTGCCAGATTTGAACCACGAACCTCTGCAACAAGTAGTGAAATCGCTACCACTTGGCCATGTCCCTGCCTAAACTGTATAAGACATTGAACGACGCATGTAAGTTTGTATTGACAGAGCTCACCTCTTTAGAAGAATCTTCAAATTTCTTTTTAGTTCTGCAAGAAAAATGTGAATGTGTTAATCTAACTCAACATATGATATTTGAAATAATCATGGCTGTGCATTAAATGACTACGCACCCCATACATTTAAGAAGGAAAAATATAATGCTTTCTGTGAAGGGCAGTCAAAAAGGCTCGATTACAATGTATATTTACAAAGCACCACTCCCATCATGTACAATATTCTATTACAAATGAGTCCGTCCCATCAGTAGCAATATCGAGGTACTGTAGAGGAGAGGCCACGGCAAAGTGGCATTACACTGCAATCTGCATGACTGTCATCTATGTGGGAATTTATAGCATCAGCCAAATTATCAAAACACACGTTTCTCAACATGAATGGTAAAACCGGAGGATCTTTCGAAAAATCTATGCGACCACGGGGGAAGCATGGAAACTCCAAATATACAGGCGTCAGGGTCGGGATTGAACCCACGACCTCATGCATTCCAGGCGAGGGGGATAACGCTTCGCCACCACAGCGCCCTGTCAAGTCTAATGTAAAGGACTGGTTAACAGGTAAGTACAACCCAAGGGCTGCGATTGGACACACACATGGTCAATTATCATAAGAAACTGTCAACCCACTGCTGGATGAAGACTACCACCACACCTCTCTCGATCCAGCAATGTGATAAAGCAAACGATGTTTTTTATCAGGTGAAGCTCACTGAGCTATAGTGGCTTATCATGTGGAAATATATAGCAGCCAAACTCTAAAACCGGAGGACCTGGAACCGGAGGACCGAGAAAAATCCACACCACCACGGAGAGAACATGCAAACTCCAAATATACAGGCATCATTGTCGAGATCGCAACTCACGACCTCCTGCATAACAGGAGAGGGAGTTAACATCTTGGCACCGTGGCACCCCTGCACATTAATTGATGCAATCACTCCATCTACGTGGTGTTAGTCCTCCTTGACTATGGCATATCATTGGATACAAATACATGTACAATAGTCATTCACAAACATTTTGGTGGCCAAACTCCCACATGATGAAATGTAAATTGTTATTTTTAAACACCTAGGCTTTCGCGAGCAATATTATTCAAAGGTTTTTGGGTTCGATCGCGTAAGTATAAACGTGTCGTAACTCTCTACCACCCAACACAGCCAGTAAGGTTTGTCACGTACACAAAATGCCCCAATTCGTTACTTCAGCCCGCCAATGTGTTGGGAGAGTAAATCCACAACATTTACAATTTGAGTACAACGTTTCGCTGGTAATTACATCCAGCATCATCTGCCGATTTTGTCAAGATTATTCTCCAACACACCGGTGGGCTGAAGTAGTAACTAATTGGCACGTTTCGTTTTCGTGACATTTTCCAATTGTGGAGGAACCACAACAAGATGTAAAGCAGCTAGCCGATACAAACAACTCTTCGGTCCTTTATACAGGGTGTTTCAAAAAGATGGACCCGATTTGAAATCGATATACAGTATCTCTGAAATTGGGTCCATCTTTTTGAAACACCCTGTATTATAGTATTGTTTTCAGCCAATTCACGTTTACACACGTGGGAAGAAACCGGTGCATCCGCAGAGCAACACTATCCGGTACATAAGGGACAGGCGGTATTAGTCCGCACTTTCCTGTACTACACTCTGCCGACAAGCCAGGGAATGGCACTTTCTAGACGGCCACGTGAAGAGAGTTTCACAACATTTGTGTGCTGATCCACCAATCCCGGCCTCCTCCAGTGCTGGATTACAAGCTACGTGCATCATGAGCTTGAGATGTGTGATTGAGGTGATAAGGCAGTGGGTAAAGGAACCCAACAACCTTAAAGCGTCTTAAATAAAAACATATTTCATGCTTAGATAATGTACTGTGCATTGCTGTTAGTAATGTATCCAACACTCAAAACCTGGGCCAAACTCGCTTAAGTTGACACAGCCGCTAACGCTTATCAACACCACTACAGCATTAACTGCACGTCTAAATTAAAACGTTTAAACACGTAACAATTGTTCATTGGTATACAGCACTAACCAACGCCTTTAACATCTTGCGCACTGCAATGCACCTCAACAATTAACAACAAATAAACCACCTGTAGCTTACAAGATAAATATCCCCTATAGCTTTAAAATAATGTGGTAACAAGGGCTTCTAGCGAGCACCTACGAAGACCGACACGGCACGCGAGAGGGTGAGTAACCAACACTCCGCCCGACCGCCTTTGTCTCCCCACTGGCGATGTCGAGACACCGAAACCAGGTACTCATTTGAGGCCCAGTCGACCTAGGAGAGGCCCGGTTCAAACAATCGTCACTGGCGAAACCCGGATCGCCGGGTTCGTAGCGCAAGCGCGCTAACCACGACACTACCGCTGCTCAGCATCGTGACAACAACAATTCCCCGTGACTGTCAGAGCGAGTGCAGTTACCGAATTAGGCACCAATGAAGGCCACCATCCTTACACAAAGATAAAAAAACAAAGATCCCCCGTGTAGCCTGAACAGACTGTAGGGGCAAGTGCTGTTAGCGAGCACCTATGAAGGCCGGAACGGCACACGAGGGGGTGGGTGGCCAGCACCACGCCCGACCGCCTTTGTCTCCCTAGTGGCGATGTTTACACACCGCACCAGGTACTCATTTAAGGCTGAGTCGACCTAGGGGAGGCCCAGGACCGGTTCAGATAATCGTCACTGGTGTTAGCCGTGAGCGGGAATCGAACCCGGGTCGCCAGGTTCATAGCGCAGCGCGCTAACCGCTACACCACCGCTCCCCACCATCCTTACACACACACACAAAACACACGCAGGCGCCAATTAAAGTGACCCCCTAATGAAACAATCGACTATGAGCTACGAGAGACGAGCCGGGGCTGCGCGAGTGAGTGAGTGAGAGAGGCGAGAGGAGGCGAGAGGGAGCCGTGCCTCTCTGTCGACGCGGAGAGGCCGTCCGCTGCAAGCGCCGCGCTCTGCTCCATGGCCTCCGCCATTGCTTTTATTTTCCCGCCAAAAATCGAGCCGTCGCCCCCCCCCCCCACCGGCTGCCGGTCACGTGGTCGGTGACGTAATTGCCGGTGGAGGTTGGGGTGCCATGCCAGGTTAGAGGGTTTTTTTCATTCTTTGGGTCTTTCGGTAAAGCCACGTGGATAGAAAAATCTTAATTAAAATATCACGACGTTTCGATCGCAACATAAGCAAACGTCATCAGGTGAAAAAAATATGTGGCTTTACCGAAAGACCCAAAGAATATGAATTCCTGCAGTCACGAAAGCTTTTAAGTCAAGATTTTTTTTATCTCGGATTGTTGTGATTCGTTGCTGTTATATAATCTGAACTTTATATTTTTTTACTGCAAGGGGAATCCGATGAGATATAAAGCTATTTTTTTCCCATAGATGGATAGTAGGTGCGCGTCAGAACGTTACAGCAACAAACAATGCAAGAATTGTATTTGTTTTCTTGGTTCTTTAGGTAAAGTCACGTAGAAGGGAAATGATGTGGTTTTCCCACCTGATGATGATTGCTTGTGTTGCAGTCGAAACGTTGTGAGAATTTTATTGTTTTATTTTTATTATTTTATTATTATTTCCCTTCTATGTGACTTTACCGAAAGAACCAAGAATATGAATCCCTGCAGTCACGAAAGCTTTAAATCGAAAAAAATATTATTTGTTGTTGAATGCAAAGTATCGGAAGGGTAAAGAAATCACTTTCCAAAATACAAATAAAAGGTTTTTTTCATTGAAAAATCGGAACATGTTTGTCAATAACACTCTGTGGCCTTAAAATGAAAATATATAATATACGACGTTTCAGGCAATGACCCTTCACAGCACAGACAATGTAATTATCACCAGGTAAACAATGGTGTAAAGTGAAGTCTCCCAACTATTACTCTATCTGGCCTCTATGGACTACGAAGAAGGCTCATTGCCAGAAACGTCGACTTATTTCTCTCTTGTTGAAGGAGTTTTATCGACGAATGCCTTGAGATTGGTAATTTGCATCGTTCATTGCAAACGCAACATCAAACAATTCCATAGTAGGCAAGAATAAGTTTTACCCTTTATGGCAATAAAACAGGTGTTAGTTTCTGACAACCTAAAATCGGTGCTAGCTAAAGGGATGACCTTCGCAGTTACCCCTAAACATATCCCGGTGGATGATATAATCTCCCAGGTCGATGTAGCCCTCAAAGGCTTGGGACACATCCAGACAGACGTTGCTAGAGCTGAAATTGCCACTATCCTCAAAAATGCCAAGAAACCCATTAGCAACATCAGCAAAAACGAGCGCTCTAAACTCGCAAATCTGAAAAAGAGGGATGACATAGTCATCCTCTCAGCCGACAAGGGTATTGCCACTGTCATCATGGATAAAACCACATTGAACAACAAAATCTAGGACCTTCTCAATGATGGTAGCTACTCAAAAATCAATAAAGATCATACTAACAGTCTGACTACAAAAAACAACAATATCATTACCAGTTCCACTTCTCTAATCGAACCAGTCAAACGGCTCTCCCTAAAACCTTCTGCTGCTAGACCACCCAGATTCTATGGTCTTCCTAAGATCCATAAAGAAGGCACTCCACTTCGGCCCATCATGTCCGCCATCAACTCACCTACCTAGAAACTGGCCCGTTTTCTGTCTGATACCTTGCTTTTACTGATAAGACTACCTCAGCAGTACTTAACTCAGCTCTCTTGGTCTCTCTAATCAAGGACATTTCACTGTCCCCAGATGATTTTCTCGTCAGCTTTTATGTGGTTTCACTGTTCACCAAGGTTCCAGTACCTGACACCATAGCAATAATTGAAGACTTAGTCCAACATGAACTGAACCCTGATGTTCTTACTCTGGTTAGGCACTGCCTTACCAACACTTACTTCACCTGGAATGGTACTTGTTACCAGTGATAGTGAATGTTTTCATGGAGAAATGTAAAACAGATGCCATCCAGACATCCACCCTACGTCCTTCCTTGTGGAAGAGATATGTGGATGACACTTTCGTCATTTGGCCACATGGCCTGCCAGCATTGAACCAATTTCTCAACCACATTAACTTCATACACCCATCTATCAAATTCATAATGGAAGTGGAGAAGGATGGTAAGCTACCATTCCTGGATGTTTTGTTTGAGAAGAAACCTGATGGCTCTTTGGGACACTCTGTCTACAGGAAAGCCACCCACACAGATTCTTATCTGAAACCTGATTCCCACAACCAGCCGGCACAGAATAATTCCCTCATCATAACACTACACCATAGGGCCCACTTCATCTCTGACCAACACCACCTAGCCAGTGAATTGGAACACGTGCACCAGGCCATTAAGGTTAATGGATATTCGGACTGTATTATCCACAAAGCTGTTTCTCCAAACATGGAGAAACAACCCCCTGAGACTCCGACCAAAACCATCACGTTACCATACATAGCAGGTGTTACCAAAAAGATTTCCAAAATCTTAAACAAACACAAGATCCAGGTCCGATTCAGTACAGTACACAAAATCTGTGATCTAATCCCATCCGTAAAGGATGTCATTCCTGACATGCAATACCCTGGAGTCTACAAACTGACTTGCATTTGTGGTGATTGTTACATTGGGGAAACGAAACGACATATATCGGACTGTATTCGCGAGCACAAGGCAGATCTGAAACACAGCAGAACTAACTCTTCCGCCGTGGCTGATCACTGCTACAATGCTGTGGGCTCTCATGATATTGTCTTTTCCGAGACCAAGGTACCCTGCAAACCCTCAGGCTACTATCAAAGGTTTGTCCACGAAGCCATCCAGATATATAAACATAGACATAACTTCAACCGAGAAGATGGATTCAAATTGAACAATCATTGGAAGGATGTTATTAACCAGGTAAAATAAAATCTTAATTGCTTTATAGTTGGCTTGAATTTCCGCATCACCAGTTTCTTCAGCCTTCTACCACCCCAGGCCCGCTCACTGCCCAGCCTCGGCATGGTGTCGCACCAACAGCAGTATTAACTGCACAGTTTTGCAGAGCGCCACCCCCCTACCCTCTCCATCTCTCCTCCCTGGCTCCTCCCCCCCCTCTTACTTTAAATAGTCTCTTGTCACAAGCAGCTCTTGTGCCCACTACAGCAATTTGTTTCTTGCTGTGGCTTTGCCACCTGATGACGGTAGCTTGTGTTGCTTCTGAAACGTCGTGATTTGGTTTATTTTCTTTTATTTTTTACATTTATATTATTTTATACCTATGTGACTTTACCGAAAGAACCAAAGAGTATAGGTGTTAGTTAAGATGTTCAAACACCAAATAGAAACCTTCTGCAAGGAAATGCTCTGATAGTGCATTGTCTTTGTACTGTTTGCCTCTTGGCGTTCTCTGGTCTCACACTGGTAGTGAGACTCGGCCCAACAGAAGGCTGTCTCTGGTCTAGGACAATCAGTTTCAAAGACAATGCATTCATTACACACTATGTAATACAAATTTTGTTCCTGGGTAGGAAGTGTTTTTTCGTAATTGCTTATGCCTAAAAAGTATAGAAAATTGCCATTATTCCCCACAAACTTTGTTTTTTTGACCAGGACAGTGATATTTTGAAATGTACCTATTTTCAATGAGAAAACTAGCGAATTTGTGTCTTTTTGTTGACATAAAGTCAGAAGAAAACAACATATGAATCAAAATGAACATGTATTTATACTAAAGTAATACAAAAATTACGATAAAAGATTTAGAAGTGAGTAGTTTTCCGAGATTTACAATTATACTGTAAATCACTTTCACGAATCAGCCCCCAAATGTAGTCTCCCATCATGTTCTCGTTAGTAGTCCTTGGTAGCGGCATTCAAAGTCCAGTATATCCTGGTGGAAGCGCTCGCCTTGCTCCTCCGAGTACGGTCCCTTGTTCTCCTTGAATTTATCAAGATGAGCATCAAGGATATGGACTTTGAGGGACATCCTACAGCCCATTGTGCCGTAGTTCTTCACCAGTCTCAACCAGCTCCACATAGTTTTCGACCTTGTGATTGCCCAGGAAGCCACGAACCACTGCGACAAAGCTGTTCCAAGCCGCTTTCTCCTTCCTAGTGAGCTTCTTGGGGAATTCATTGCACTCCAGGATCTTCTTCATCTGTGGTCTGACAAAGACACCGGCTTTGACCTTTGCCTCAGACAGCTTAGGGAAGAAGTCTTGAAGGTACTTGAAGGCTGCTGACTCCTTATCTACAGCTCTGACAAATTCTTTCATAAGGCCCAATTTGATGTGCAGTGGTGGCATCAGCACCTTCCGGGGATCCACCAGTGGCTCCCACTTGACGTTGTTCCTCCCCACAGAGAACTCGGTCCGCTGTGGCCAGTCCCGCCTGTGGTAGTGCGCCTCGGTGTATAAATCTTTAGTAGTAATTTTTTATCACTTTAGTATAAATACATGTTAATTTTGATTCATATGTTGTTGTTTTCTGACTTTGTGAACGAAAAGTACACAAATTCGCCCGTTTTCTCATTGAAAATAGGCAAATTTCAAAATATCAATGTCCTGGTCACAAAAGCAAAGTTTGTGAGGAATAATAGCCATTTTCTGAACTTTAGAAGCATAAGCAATTAGGAAATAACACTTACTACCCAGGAACAAAAAACAATGTTCCACAGTGTTATCAGAGCATGTTTGTTTGTAGGTTCACCACAAGTACTGTGTGTGTGGTTAATGCAGACTTGATTCCTT